ATTTCAATTAAGATCATAGTATGTAGTATTATCACTTTTACAAATATTTTGTTTTCAAAAAAACAATGTTTCAATCAATTAAATTTCTATTTACAAAAATAGAATATAGAGTAAATAATGATAAGTTTTTTTGTCAATAGTAAAAAAGAAAGAGATGAACAATATTGTTCATTAAATAAATCTACATTTCATTGAAAGATGATGACAAGTAAATGTATAATAATATCATTGTATTTTATTATGATTTTTTATCAAGTTAAGCCTAATGAGCTTCCACTACACTGTTGGAAATGTGAAATTACAGTTCAATCAGCAGATAAGAATGGAGTATTTCTTGATGGTAAACGTAACGCTTTTTTTTTCTAATATTATTTTAATACTTATGTTAATATTTCTTAAGATTGTAGAGGTGAATTTGATTTTACACAACATACAAAAGAAGAATGTGATGGTAAATGTTGGAAATCAGTTGATTTAATTGATACAAAACGATATGAAAACAATAGTCAAATTGGATTATTACTAAAACATATTAATCAATCGAAACGTAAATCAAGTCGTCGATGTTTTACTGCTAATGAACTTGTACGAGCTTCTGAAATGGGTGTTAATACATCAGATGGATGTCAACAAGTGAAAAAAGATGATACAAAAATGAAAGAAGTTTGTTTTTGTTCAGATCAAGATATGTGTAACAATACATTTATAATAACAAAAAACTTTTTTATTCTATTTACTTCTATATTTCTTATATATATCATTACTTTATATTAGCTTGTTGAATGAAAAACAAGTTAAAAGTTTTTATTCATGACAAAATAAAGATGCATAGAATTATTGAATATAATCAAATGAAACTGTCGGAGTTAGAACTTAGATCTGAATTCCATTCTTATTATTTTAACGAATTTCTTGATTATATTTGAGTGTAGTAATTGTTCTATAAATACGAACTGTTTTTCACATGAGTGATTAACAAATGCTAGATACTACTCAAGTAGTACTTGAAGAAATAGGTTTCTTAAGTGTGTCGATTCAAAATTAGAGTTTTGTTTTTCCACAGTCTAAACTATTAAAAGTCCGAGTAAAAATTTGATTTTTTTTATCCATTTTCATTTCATTATTATGTGTTCTTTCGACTTTCATATACTATAGGCTGATGTGGACTGGTCATGTCTCTGTCTATAGTAATAAATAGTACTGATATTATCAATGATCAAGTGAATGAACTTGTCGTTTTTACGAGTGAAATGGAGGATGATTATGAAGAAGAAGGGATAATTGAAGATGAATGTAGCTTGTAATATAACAAGGTGCGCCCTACTCTATAAACATATAACTGGCTTTTGTTCAGTACTTTTGTGTGTATTGTACCATCTGTCTTTTGCATCGTGAATATCATACTGACAGGGTATATACTACCTTTCTTTTTTCTGTGTTTGTTCTTTATTGTATTGGTTTATGTTATTAGATACTTCTAGTCATGTTCTATGTTTCTATGTAATAGCACATGATAACTCTTTAGTATAGTATTAGAATAAAACTTCAAGTGAACATATAGTCAACTCGGACCCTTAGTTATTTGAACTGTAGTATCATTTATTCTCTCACGATGGCGAAGTATATAAAGGCGATGCGATTTTCGATAAGGAAAAATATAATAAAGTGTGATTCTATCAAAAATCGCCACAAGTATTTAGTCAGTTTTGTCTATCTGATCATATGAAGGATTAAGGTTCAATTATTTATTCGCTGTTCTAAAAAATACACTCGATATAATATTTTTTCTATTGTCGTCTCTTACATCATCAGATTCATATTTAAAATGAGATAAAATATATGTACTCTCAATCTAGAAAGACGAAGAAAAAAATGTGAATGAAAACAACACAAATATGAAAGTGGGGAAGAATGTATTTTAACCCATGAATATGATAAACGAAAAGATACAATTTTTCATAGCTAAAAACAATTCCAAAATATAAAATAACAAAATTTTCATCTTCACAAAAAAAATAAGAATAGCTTTTCATCAACTATATAAATCAAGTCATTATCGAAGTACAAAACATATACATACGCTTTAGTTTATACGCTTCGAGATTACATGTAAAGAACAAATACCATCCTATGGTGACCTCTTCATAAAAATATCATGTTTGTTTATTTTGTTTTTTCGTTCAATAGTGATTCATAGATACAGTTCTTTTTAGAATGACGGAATACTATTTACCCTACATATTCGATTAATATTTTATGCGACAGATTTTTAATTTTTTTATGTTTTAGATGTCTACAACTTCCGGAGTTAATGCTCGATCACCAGCAGCTATTTATTCATGTTTAATTAGAAATAACAGTGATGCTGAAATTGATGTACGAATTAAATTTGCTGGTATAGAAGATCATCATGATGAAATAGCTGATATTGAATTAGCAAAAGGTGAAGAAGAACGAATAGATGAAAAAGAATTTCAACATGGAGAATCCGATGGAAAATATCATAAAACAGTTGAATCAATTCGTGTTCGAAGATATGATGGATCAACAATTGAATTAACGAAACCATTTGATGGTGTTACATCTCCAAAAAAAGATTGGATTTTTGAAATTGATAATGATTCAATTAAATCTGTTGATCCAAACAAAAAGTAAAAACAATAAAAACACTCTTTTTTTATTTATTGAAACTATTTCATAGATTTTAAATAAAAGATTATATTAACTTGCTTTATTTTTCATTTTAACGTCTTACACTTTTGAAGGTATCTGAAATACGTTAATAAATATTCAATATGATTATAATTAAGTAATAGATCATAGCATATGAATTACTTAGTAACAATCGAGAGCAGCAAGTATCACACTCTCTTTTTCATAATTTTCGAATAACAAAAAATAAACATCGAAAGGCATGGTCAACGCTTTACGTTGTACTAGAATATTCTATGTACCTTTTAGAAACTCTAATTTCGAAAATATGTTCGAATGGGTTAGATATTAATAATAATGATAATAGATGTGGTGATAGCACAAATGCATTACAGATTTATTAGATGAATTAAAATAATTAAGAAATTAAGAAAAAAAATATGAATAAGATAACGCATTTGTGTATCAATTGAATAAATATTTTGCATTGAAAGTAATTATTTTGCAAGATGAACATATGATTACTAGAGCAAAATGAAAAGAACAATTGCGGTAGCATATGAACGTATCCAAGTTCGAAGATAACTCTCAGGTGTAATGTTATCTTTGAAAAAAACTCCAGATTTGTATATTCAATTACACAGTAAACGTAATATCTACGAGAGATTTTAATCTCACTTACACACGTGAGCAAATACTGAAATTTTTAATACATTAAATATTACAACAAAATAATGAAGTAAATTTCAAAGTTCAGTAAATATTTCTTTATTTATCGGAAGAGAGAAGTAAGAAAAAAAATTGAATATGAACGTATAATAGGTATATGACAATACTAAGCTAAATGAGAATTACACCCTTGCTCAAATATCTATTTCTATTACTCTCGATCATCTTATTCGAGTCAAATTACCATTCTCGACGTCATACGAGATACTAAATATTTACTTCAATACAAGACTAGTAATGACCTTACATAATGTACAGAATTTATTCACCAACAGCAATAATAAAGAAAATAATTTAATGGTTTAATCAGTACGTATGTAGTAAAAATCGATGATTTTATCATTATTTGGAAGGTGAATTAATCGTGAAGTTATACAACAATAAACCATCAGTATGAACAATTTTTATAAAAAACCTCTCGCTTCTGAAAAATGTGTAAAATCATCAGAATTGTTGTTAGTATTTAAATCTAAGACAGAGCTATCGACATCACCAACAATTCATAGAATTAGGATTGTTTGTTTTTAACAGAATTATTTCGTATCGAAAAAACAAGAAAATATTTTGTATACAAAGGAAAATTCATGATCAGTTAATTGGAAACACTAATAAGAAAATACTGATTCATAATTCACCATCATACTTGACTTATTACATGAATTTTATGTACATTAAGAAATTTACATATTTTCTTTCTATCGATGAAAATCTAAAGTTCGCTAACTAGTGGTATGTATTACTTCTCCATGATACAACTTAATATAATCAGTTATTGAAACTAGAAATAAGAAAGTAGAATGTTTATGTTAACTGTAGTTTAAAACAAAACTATCCATGTATTATTGTATAAATAGTTCGAATATAGATTGAACAAAATTGAAAAACACATTTTATTGATAAAAAAAGAATAAAAAGTATATTGTATAAACCGATCAGAAGCCATAGATAAATTTTGGTTATTTGTTTTTCTCAACTGCTAGTATAGAAATTCATTATCAAAAAACTATGATTAAATGTTTACTTAATCAAAATTAATCCATGATTTTCGATCGATTTTTACAATATAAAAAGCTATTACTGTTCTTCACATGATCTATCATTGTCAATTAACTCAAATAAAGTATCATGTCAAGGATATAGAGAAGAAAAAAAATATTGCCTATGAGAATTCTTGGTGATTTGTCACTAGTATTCATCGAAATTATCTCATAGTCAATAGAAAATTTTCTTTTTTTTCAAATTTATTTATCAATTTGATTGTCTGATTTATTTTCAATCGATGATACTAATAAAGGTTCTTCATTTGATTTTGTATCTACAAAGACACAAATAAAATATTTTAATAGATTATATATAGATTATTTACCAGATTCAACAATAATATTTGATGTATTGTGTTCAATGGATTTGTTTGAATTCTTTCTACTTATAAGAAAATAAATTCCATAAATAATAGCACAGATTAAATTAAATATGGCAAAGATTAAAAAGAGAAGACGTTGTTCAAGTGTTGTATAAATAAATGATGAAATAATTAAACCAATACCTTTACCTATTTAAAAATGAAATCAATTTACATATTTGACTATACATCAAATCTCATACCTAAACCAAAACAGAGTCCAAGCGAAAGACTTTGAAGTGTACCCGATAGACCAGGTGGTGCTATATTATAAACAAGAAAATAAATCATATATATAATTGAATATTAGAAATCTACCAAACGAATCAGCTTGTTGAAATATTAAAATTAAAAGTATACCAAAATTAAAAAAATGCATTATTTCCATACATGGTAGTAAATATGGTAGACGAATATAATAATAACCACCAAATCGAACACTAAAAGCTAATAAAATAATAACCGATGATAGATTTGTACCAAATAATTTCAGAAGTCTTCCAGCAGAGAAAAAAGCAATAACTTCAGAGATAGCTGATACTATTGACATTCTACCAATGATTATATGAGATTGACATGGAGCTATTTCATCAATATATAAGTATAGATACTAAAATTAAAAGAAATTATTTTTTTCACAAAATATATATGTATATAATATTTACCGGTTCTAAAACTGCAAAGGACATTCCCCAAACAATTATAAGTGAAAAAAAAATAATAACATCAATTTTTTTTAACAATGGTAATATTTCTAACATTTTAAATTGTGATCGATTTTTCTTGTTTCCACGATTTAAATCATCATTCTTTTGAATAATAATTTCATCAACTGTTGAACGTCGTTTTTTTCTATCTGGTTGTATACGAATAAAACATGTTACAATCATACAGGCAACACTTGCAATACAAAACATAATAAAATAAACATAATCAGTTTGAAAATATTTATAAAGAAGACTAGCAGTATATGCCGCTGTACCAAAACCGATTGTGCCCCAAAAACGTTGTTTACCAAAAAGGTCTGCACGATGTAAACTATTAAAACCAATTGCTGCACCAAGCGGAATAGAATTTGTGAGGAAATTATTTCCGATAACAAATAAACCTGAATAAAGAACAATTAAACGTGTTTGACCAGAACTACGTGGTCCATGACAAAAATGTGCTATCGAACAAGTTATTTCACAAGCAGCTAATCGAGATGAACTACCTCTACTGAGAGATCTATTAAAACTTGGATTGTTTCTATTTTGTTTAATATCATCATCAATAGGTACTTGATATTCAATTCCACATGCTCGTTGTTCAGTTATATCTTTAACATCCTTGTGAATATTTTTTGATTTCATTGAAAAATTAAAAGAAAAAGATTGCATTTGATTATTAATTTCATGATTTCGTTCATCAATAAAATTACAACTTGCTTTATATGTACATCCACATTCAGTTCTTGATGCACATTTTGTTGCTAATTCTTGACTAGCACAAAAATCTAATATATGATTTAAATTCTCATCACGTATCATATCAGCTTGTATATTACGGGATTTAACAGATGGTGCAACTAATAAACTAGCACATGCGATAGCTGTTATAATATAAACACAATTAAATGTTAATTTATAACGACGTGAAAGATCAGCAATATAACTCATTAATGGATTTGTAAAAAGGATTAAAAATGGAATAGCAATATTAAGATATGATAATTCTATATTTGATAAACCACGACTACGTAATGTTATATTTACTATTGGAATAAATATACCAAATGCTGCAAAAAACAGAAAATAATGTGCTTTTAAAAGTAAATAATAACGATGAATAAATGATAATTTTGATTGTAAAGTATCCGCATTATCAGCGGATGAAGGTATTGTTGGTGATGCCATTGTTTTTTTATTTTGAAATAATTCTTGAAAATTTACTGTACATCTAAAAACATAGGTGAAAATATTTTATCGTCTCTATATATCATTAGTTAAATGATGCTCTTCAATTTAATGGTAGCTATCATGTATATATGTGGTAAAATAAAAGTACGGAGAAGAAAAGAATGATGAAAAGTTACAGAATAATGATCATTGTCTGTTACACTCTTTACTATCTTTTCTTAAGTACGAAGAAAAAAAGAAACTATGTTTTATTCTAAAAGAATCTTCAAGGTTAAAAAGAAAGAAAAATGCTATAGTATATCTATGCAGGGTTCTTATCTATCTGACTTCAAGAGAAGAGAGCTATGAATGAACTTCGAACTGCACGTTTTGTACTCATTTCTTACTCTGATATCATTATTTAATTGAGAAATATGCAAGAGTGCACATACTTAAGTGAATCAAGAATCGTGTTAAAATAACAAGATATTCTTCTCGAATATTACGTCGAAAAAAATAAAGCCAATGTAAAAAAAATAAACTGATAATAAATAGAAGACGAATATACTTCACTGTGATGAGTGTCTATTTTTTTCCTCCCTCATCTTTTGTCTGATTTTATCATGAAAAGAAATTATATTTAGGTTGTATAAGTTTTTTTTTATAAAGATGGGTCAATAATCGTGTTTTG